CGCCCCCTAGAGTTGGACACGAATGGACTAAATGTCAAGGGGAACCTTTAGCTGTACCTATCCCTGCTTTATAGCAGAGGCACTTAGCTTTAGAGCCGGGCCCCAGTCCCTCACGTGATAGTGCTGCCACTATCTGCTTCTTGGCACTGAAACCGGTCTGCCTAATGGACCTTGGCTGTTGTCCAGGTGGAGCGGGTAAGTCCTGCCGAGTTGAACAGGGCCTCTAGTTGCAAGAACCCTCAGTAGGTTTGGGTCTTTGGTGGCAAAAGGTCCAGTACCCATGAGATGTTCGTGGTTCTGAATACTTTTGGCTGCATGGCTAGAGAGACCCTGTGAGAGGGGGTTATTTGCACAGGGATCACATGCAAGATGGTGATGTCGTTTTTTTGATTATCCTATTCACCCGTAAGGACAAGCCTTCTTGCGACTTGACGGTTACGTCCTTGTCCAGTGATCACAAGGACTGTCCGGGTGGCTTTCCTCTGCCCTGCAGGTGGAAAGGAATGTCCCCTTTCCTTCCAGATGCATGGAAGGGAGAAGGGGAAAACCCACAGGAAAGCCACGTTTCTGTGAAGTGACCCAAAAGCCACTGATCTTTCCCGCATGGCCTCACCTCGTGGAAACACATAAACCCAATCGTCCTGCGTTCAGCCGCTCCAAGCCCCCTACTCTAGTCACGGGAACGTGCAGAAGTGCAGTGACAGAGAAATGGAACCAGGAGACGCGTAACAAATACATGTACCTCGAAGATGCCTGAACCTGATAGCAAATAAAAATGATGGCATTTAATTTTATTTAACTCATATCTGCCTTGCTGTTCTTGAGGCTTTCAAGGTAAGTGAGATATAGCAGGAGTGATTTTACCAGTTCTGCTTCCCCAGTAGAATTGGCACGTTCGAGCAGGGATTCGAACTCTGGTCTCCAGAGTCCTAGTCTGTTACTCTGTCCACCACACCACACTGGGTCTTCATAGAGGCTCCAAACCAAAAAACTTTCTTAAAGGGAATATTGGAGGCAAAAGGAAGCTACCCCATAGGAATCATTTCTGTGCTGAAGAACAAGCCACCTTTTATTAGAGCCGGGACGGGAGGGGGCTCAGCTCTTTTGTCCGTCTCCATTCATCCGAAGAGTCATTGCTTTAATGGCCATTCTTTGTGATGTTGCCTGTGTTGCCTTTTGAGGGGTGGGATCTGGCTCACAACCGCTCCCTATCTCACCCTGTTGCTCTCGGAACAGCACAAGGTAGGGTGACTCGAGGCTTTGCGTTGGTCCCACAAAACCTGCAGCTCACTAGAAACCCTCAGTGATGTCACAGGAAGGTGCCTCCCGTCCCTTCGTAGTGCACGGAAGCATTAAGGAGGAGGCAAGAATCGTCCAGAGCTGCTTCCAATGGCCCCAGAGAAGCAAGCACTCCAAATGCTGCTGCATGATGGTGGTGGTAATTCTGCGAAGCACTTGCAGAAATCCGTACAAGTGTGGTGCTAAAGAGAGACATATGTACCCCTGTTTAAACATTAAAGCTCACTTACATTGTCTTAACTGGGCTTCATGTAAGTAATTCTTTAAGCAGAAGTATACTGCCTTAATGCCACTTTTTCAATTCCAGTCAGGCTCTGTTGATTACCTATCAACTCTGGAAATAGAGAATTTATATATCTACAGTAACACTTTTTATGCTAACATTTTCCCCTTGCAAATAGAGTTTATATCAGGAATAGGGAGTAGGAACGGTGGCCACCTCTATTTTATTTTTTAGCAATTGTGTTATTAAATGGCTGAAAAATTTGTGCAACAAACACTCGGGGTCCCTAAGGAATAACTTCTCTCCTGCATCATTTCCTCCGTGTTTTACATAAAACTGCCCATTTCAATTAGGTTGCTGAAATTAGGACATGGAGAGGAAGCAGTAAGAAGGAAAATCTTCAGCATTTGCAAGCATGAGTAAGTACATTGGCCTTCACAAGCGTGCTCTGTACACAGTTTCCTTGGTTCCATCTCGGGGCCTCCAGGACCAAAAAGCTGTAAAGACGAACCTCATTTGCAGAGAGAGATGATCACACGGGGCAGTCAGCCACATTTGTTCTGTTAAACATCTAGTGATGAAGTCCAACTGCATAAGACTTTTCAGCCGAGTCATCCTCTGTTTTGTGAGGACTGTTTACCCTAAAAGCGGCGTCAGCTGGCCAGAGCTTAGGAAGAGTAACTTTTTTGAGACCAGACCTACCAGAGAGAAAGGAAAACGGTGTCCGCTTAATACAGAGATGTTGCCGTTGTCTGTCATCAGGGAGATAGTAGATGGGGTTTCTGTTGTCCAGACGGAAGGTTTGCTGAGCCCCTAGGGTGTGGTGGGTTGAAAACCTCAGCGAGGTGGACCTTTCCTGTCTGTGTCCTAAAGCAGGGCTTTTCAATCAGAATTGCATGAATTACTGGGGGGGTGGGGATCCCCAACTTAGTCTAGGCAGAATGCAGGGCTTTCCTCCGGTTACAAAGAATTTGCTTTCGGTTTGCTGTGATGGGCTGCCTCCAACCGGCTATGAATTGTCCACGCGAAATGTAATTTTGGACAGAGCAGAGAATAGGGATGCAGCCTGTGCTGGATGGGGTCACACCCCCTCTGAGAACATGGCTGTGTGGCTTGGGGGTGCTCCTGGGTACATCTCTGAGATGGGATGCCCAGGTTTCGCCAGCGGGCAGAAGTGCATTTGCACGATTAAAACCAGGATGCCAGCTGCACCCATTCCTTAAGAGGTCTGATCTGGCCGTGATGACACAAGCCTTAATGGCATCTCAGCCGGAGCTACATCTGGAAAACATTCAGGAACTCCATCGAATGCCACAGTCAGATGGTTAACTGGGCCCGGTGGCAGGGAACATATACCTGTTCCAACAGCTCCACTAGCTGTCAATCTGATTCTGGACACCATTCAAACTGCTGGTTTTAACCTATAAAGCCTTAAACAGCTTGGGTCCAAACTATATAAAAGACCGTATCTCTCTTTACAAGCCTACTTATGCATTAAGAAAATCAGAGAGGCCTTTCTCTCACCATTCCCACAGATGCATTTGGCGAGGGCACCGAAGAGGGCCTTCTCTGGAACTCCCTCCCACAGGAGACCCGATGGGCCCCTTCTGGGCTGCCCTTCCACAAACAGATAAAGACCTTTCTCTTCCAGTGGGTTTTCCTTTAAGGCAATGGTCCCCAACCTTGGGCCTCCAGATGTTCTTGGACTACAATTCCCAGAAGCCTTCACCACCACCTCTGCTGGCCAGGATTTCTGGGAGTTGAAGTCCAAGAACATCTGGAGGCCCAAGGTTGGGGACCACTGCTTTAAGGGATTAGTTGACCAAGGGGATTTTTTAAATGGATTATTTTATTCTGTTGCTTTACTTGAGCTTTCAATATGCTCTTATTTATGAGTTTTAATATATCTAAATGCTTTTTAAAATACTGTAATTATGATTTAGCTTTTTAAAATGTGTGTGGTTTTTTTTTCATACTGTAAGGCCACCTTGGATCCTTTAGGAGAAAGGGTGGCGTATAAATAATTTAAATAAAATCAAACAAGGGCTTCTACTAGCTGCAGGTTCTTGCTGATCACCAACATACAGAAATAAGAACACACAGTCGCATGATACTAGTAGAACAAGGTATGTCCCTTTTGAGGGGAAAATGGATGTTTTGTTTCTGTTATGTCATGGGGGAAGAAACCTAATTTCTTTGATCAAGTGCTTGGGAGATTTAAAAAGTCAAACAGCGCTGCTGCAATGATAGAGCCTTCACATAGGTGACCCAGCAGTCCTGTATATGATGTTTGAGACCCAAAACCTGACCTACAATTACCTCTGGGCTTTTCCTATTGCTTCCCACAAACACACATACACGCATCTTGTATGTACTGCACAATTGTACACCAGCAACAATATATCTAGGCCACACTTCCAACCACAAATCTGCAGGCATGATCTGAACAGGCCATTCTCCAAGGAGATAAGCTACAAGATGGTCCCACGGGGGGGGGGGAATCTTTCCGGCGCCTCCCACCACAGGAGAAGCCTTCCCTTCTTCATCCCACACAAATTTCCAGGTCTGAGATGCTGCATCAAGAAAGGGGGGCAAAATGAGATCAGTGCACAGTAGATTTTTTTTCCTTTTTACTAATCCATTTCGATACACAGGCCACCCTGTCCAAAGAGCATGGGGTCAAGTGAAAATATGTTAATAATAGAACTTCCAATCGCAATGATTAAACCCGCCGTCTCCTCTCCTTGAATGCCCACAGTCATTGGGTTGACAATACCTCCCAAAGGCATCTTGACACTGAAGCAGGTGAACTGTTAGAGAGAAAGGGGGGTCCAAGCATGAAGGGGCAGCCCCAGGAAACACCCATCTGTATGTACACCCTTTCAGTCTTGGCTTAGCACACCGATGGCAAGCAGGACGACAGCCTTGTGTCCTTCGGGGAACAGAGGAGTAGAAATGATGAGCCCAATGCTGTTAGGAGATTATTGCTGTTGTGGTGGCAAGGAGCCTGAAAAGCAACGGGGAATTGGCACCGGAGAGCATTTGTGTTTTCCCAGATCAAAGCTTGTCGGTATCAGTCGAAGCCACAGACCTTGTCAATCTATGTGATGTTTATGGCTCACGCTGGGCTTTTGAACCAGGCAGATACCATCTTGGAACACTCTTTTAAGATTGTCTTATTAATTGTCTCCTTGAAAAAAAATCCAGAAGGAGTCTGTAGACTTATTTACTCAGGCATTAAGAGTGCCAACCTAACATACTGGGTTATTAATAGGTGACCAGTTGATTCACTTCTTTATGGACAATGTACGGGGTGGAGAAAAGGGAGGAAGACAAATAAAAGCTGTTTCTTTTGTACTTGAAAGCAATGGCTCAATTGCCTGTGTTCTGTTGAATACCAGTCTAGCTGATGCATCCATGAAAGATCTCATTGAATTATCTTGTATGTTTAAGATACTTTTTTAAAAGTTTTCTTACGTGACTCATATTGTGTGCAGCAGGATGAATGATTCTGACATTTTGCCTGTTCTACAGTCTATATATTTTACAAGCTATTCCTCTTTCTTTTTGTTGTTTGCTTGTTTGTGAAGAAAATGAAAATACAGTCCCAAAAAAGCAGATCTGAATGTTTCTTGTCACTTGTGGTTAATGGACATTTCTCCCCCCTGGTGAAAAAAACATCCATCTGCCTTTTGAAAAACAACAACAGTGTTGTCAAACATTTCCTGGATCTAGTTTCCAATCTTCAGCATGAAAACCACTCGCCCCAGAAACCGGTCGTTGTTATAATTATTGATGATCCCCTTCCCGTTCAGTTGGCACTGAATGTTTACAATCTGGTTCTTTGGCACGTTCGGAAAATGGACAGCCACCACTGGCTGTGTGTAATTGACCTGGAGAAAACAGATTCTGGTAAGAGACATAGTAGAACAGCTCTGACACTGGTTTGCAATAGCGCTATACAGAACCAAGCAGCGGTCTGGTATACTGTATTTTTCCGTGTATAAGACACCCCCACTTTTCTAATTCAAAATTAAGAAATCTAAGTGGGGCAAGTGTAGGGGGAAAGGGATCAAAGCGCTGCAGGATCGCTTTGATCCCTGCTTTCTGCTCCACTTGTTTTTGTTCTCTCCTCGGCTTACTTCCGTGTATAAGACAACCCTCAATTTTTAGTCTAAAGATTCTAAGCAGACCTGCAGTCGTATACATGGAAAAATATGGTACTTGAATGAGGTGAGCGAAGTGCAACGTTCTCAAATTTGATGGACTGCAATTCCAGGCATTCCTCAATATTGACTACACTGCCAAGGGCTGGTGGGAGTTGCAGTCCAACCAGCATCTGAAAGGCCACCCTAAACCTATCCCTACTGTAGTGCTTCTCATCCTTTAGGTCTCCAGATGTTTTAGACTGACATCAGTTTCTCAAAACCCCAGCCAACACAGGTCAGTGGTCAGGAATCCTGAGGGTTAAAGTCCATTATGGCTTGTGAGCCAAAGGCTGAAACGCACAACTTTACATCAAAGGCAGAGAGTGTGATCCTAATTTCAAAAACCCTCTGAGAGGGTCAATCTATTCCACCTCCAGCAGCTGGCTATATGTGGAGGAAGAGGAAAAAAGGGAGTGAGAAGATGTACAAAGGTGTGGGGGGGAGAGTGGCTTCTGGCTTCCTCCACAGTAGACCAGAGCCCTCAACAGCTTGACGGCAAGCAAATGGAGCTGTTGTGACTAAAAAAATGAGTGTCTATTCCAGTTGTACATGCTTAGCTGGGAATAAGTACCGCTAAGCCCAATGGCCAGGGTTCTCCTGTTTGCGCCAGGCTCACAAAAGGCCATTCCACACACCTAGTTCCTCTCTTTTCTTGCCTACTCCCTGAAGTCCCACTCACTTTCAAAGGAGCGGGTCCCATCTTACATCACTGCCAGCAGAACATTGCCAAAGCAAACAAGAGGTGCTTACCTACGACTCGTGCGGCACTTTGCGTTTGCAAATGGGATCATGCCCAAGGTCTTCTGCTTCTAAGCAGACTTGTGCACAAGACTGATTATTTCAAGCATGGCTGGAGAACCCCCCTCCAGATGTTGTTCCCAGCAGCTCAATTAACACTGAGAATCGATGGGAATAGCCATTTAATTTTATTTTAATTGCATTTTAATTATTTCGCCCTTTTATTTCGCCTTTTTATCGTATTTTAAATGCTGTAAGCCGCCCAGAGACCTTCGGGTAGTCTGGACAGCATATAAGTTAAATAAATAAATAACTTTATCTAGAGGCCCTCAGGGTACCCGAGTCCTTGTTTCTAGCACTTTGTTCTCACTTTTCGGCCTCCCGCCAGCCAGCAGCTGATGGGCACTGAAGCCCAGCACTTTTGAGAGGGCCACGGTCTCCCATTCTCCTCCTCTTTTTAAACCAGGAAGCTTAATGATGCCATGAGCCCACGACTATCCTGGAGGCCGCAGGCCGTATTGCTACTTACATGTGTGTGCTTGCCATAGTAAGGGAAGTACATGGGGTCAAACGTCTCACTTGGATAGAACTCTATCCCTTGGAGAGCGCTTTCATTGCCTTTCTGCAATAGAAGAGTAGTAAGAGATGAGTGCCTGGAAACGTTACTTTTCTGGGATTATCATTCTCATAATCCCATTAGGGGGTTCTGCAAACTGTAATTTCAGGAAGTTAATTTTTCCAGGAGGTGATGCACAAGTGACCCTTCTAAGGAAGATTTCAGGACAGGGAAGGGATCAGCGAAAGACCAGCTGCAAGGATGCTGATGATCCCAGTTTGCAAGACGGGAAGCAGGAGCGGGCACAGCTTGTGCTGCAGCCTGCAGGCTGCCCTAAGCACCCCACAAAGCTCCCTTGCTGAACCCCAACTGTTTTGCCCCAAAAGGGAAGCTGCTCACGCACACATCCAGATCTCTGGGGGTGTGGGTTGCATTTTGAGGCAGGAAAAAAAATTCATTTGGAGTGGTCAGAGCAGACTTCCAAAATCCAGGGGAGGGCAAAAATGGTCCCCACGCACATAGACGTTGTCCGTGCCTGAAACAATAATAATAATATGAAATAATATTTACCTGAACTTTGCAACTCACAGTCACTGGATTCCCATATCCAGGCTTGTAACCTATAATCTATGGAAACAAGATCCTTTTAATTGCATTTGATGGCAGGTGGGAAACAATTGTATGACTCAGGGTGAATCTCATGGTATGTTTTGACTTACAAGGGGAAAATGGAACAAAATAATTCTCAGTGGTGGTGCTGCTTTTGGGCTCAATGCGTGTAAAAACAACACCCCCAATAAGGCCTTCGGTACAAGCAGAAAGTTGCACTAGATGCATTTGTTTCTATCCACAAGGACGGCTTAAATTCCACTGCTAATGCCAACTAGAGTAGATCCACTGAATCAATGGGATTTATGTTAATTGTTGACCTACCCATGATTAAATGGGTCTGCTCTAGTTGCAGCTGGATTTCAGAAAAGGAGAAATCCAGCCAACCATTAAATGTTAACCTCCACGTTCTTCAGGTTGCCTACAGAGTCCCTGTTTACAAGAAAGTTGGGCCAAATCAGGAAGACCATTTTTGTTTTCTTTATTAACCTCCATTCCTAGCAGGGCAAGGATGTTGATCTGTTACACCAAAAAAAGAAAGAAATAAAGAGGTTTGTGGCAGGTCTACCTACCAGCTTGTGTGAAGCTAACGCTTCTGGGGATTGAACCCTACATCCTCAGAAACAGGCAGCGGGCAGTGAAATTTGGCACATAATAAAACCTTGTGTAGAAGGAGCCACGAAAGTCCTTTGTGGATTTAATAATAGGCTTCCCCCCCCCCCCCAATTCCAGTAAGCATAACAAGGTAAGAAAAATTAGAATCTGAACCTACTCGATTCATCTTCAGCAAGATGCAAGGCTGTCCTGCAGAGTAACCGAACGTTGTATCGTTTATTCCAGAACAATCCATTAACGTGGATCGCTTAAATTGGCAAGCCTTTTTCATGCTACTCTCATTGTCCTCTTGAGTGAAATATTGGCCCGGTGTGCACGGAATATTTTTGTGTTCTTGAACAGAGTCATCATAATCTGAAGAGAATGAAGGAAATTAACTTTCTGACCATCTTTCACTCCAATGCTTTCTCTGTTATTGCACCAATAAACTGCTGCTGTTGTTCTAGGCCATCAATTCAGAACCAACTTTGTAGTGACACTAACAGGGCTTTCAAAGTAAGTAAGATACAGTGGGGTCTCTACTTAAGAACGTCCCTACTTAAGAACAATCCAACTTAAGAACAGCTCCATTTGCTAAATTTTGCTTCTACTTCAGAACAGAAATCCAAGATAAGAACAGGAAAAAAACACCTTTCCTGCTCTTTTTTTAACCTTAGGTCATCTTAGGCTAAAAAAAATTCTCCCCCTAGTGGTAGAGTACATATTAACCAGCTTTGCATTAGTTCCTATGGGAACTAATGCTTCAATGTAGGAACGCGCCTCTACATAACAAAAAAACAGCCAGAACGGATTAATTGGTTTTCAGTCCATTCCTATGGGAAATTTTGCTTCAACTTAAGAACGTTTCAACTTAAGAAGACCATTCCAAAACAGATTAAGTTCTTAAGTAGAGGTTCCACTGTAGTTTCTATGGACGGAAAAGAGCAGATACGGATTAAATGGTTTTCAGTGCATTCCTATGGGAAATGCAGATTCAACATAAGAACTTTTCAACTTGAGAACCACCTTCCAATACGGATTAAGTTCTTAAGTAGAGACCCCACTGTATTTAAAGTGTAGTTTTATCGGTTCCACACTCCCAGTGAGCTTCTTCCATGGTTAAACAGGGATTTGAACCCAGGCCTGCTGGATCCTAGTCTATCACTCTGCCCACGACACCACAGTGGGTATCCAGCAAGTTGTTAGCGAAGATTAAATGGTCAGTGATATCAATGCATCTTTTCCTTGTTTAAGGGCCAATATGGAGCCAGTTTGTCTAGTGGTTTGTGTGGTAGACAAAGATGTGGAAGAGCCGTGTTGTAGGCCACTAAAACCATGCTATTCACCCTAAAACAGAAGCCAATAAAGACGAAAGACAAAACAACAACTAGAAATCAAGAAAACAAGCTTTTTTTCCCTTGCTTTTTTTGGTCATCTGTGGGAGAATTCAAGAGTAAAACAAGAAGTCATGGCTCATGTAAACCACTACTTACTGTGCTACACAAAAATGGTCATTAAGTACAATCGTGTTAGAAAGATGCTGTAACTGTATTTATTGGACAAGTTTCCATGTCACATTAAGACATGATTTATATTAGCCATGTTTTTTTCACTTTAGCCTCCAATTCTCCCACAGATCAGCAAACTAAAGGAAGCAACAGACCTGAGTTTTGTGAGATCCAAGTAAGGCAGTTAATGACACCTTTGGGAGGTCACTAAATCATGCGGCTGCTACAGGTCAAAAGTGACTTCATGGGACATAACACCAATAAATTGTTTCTTTCAGAGTATGCTCCTCTGTGCAAAAAAATATGCTCTGAAGTCAGCTTAGAAATCTATTTATCTAATTGTAAAAAAGGAAATCCGTATGTTTATAAATTGGTCTTGTGGGGATAATTCTCCCGAAGATTTTAGCTGTGATGGAATGGCCTGTTTCTCCTCATCGGCATTATCTGCCAAACTGATTTTTGTATGTGTCCCACCTGGACTGTATAACTTGCTTGAATTTTCTAGTATCTCTAGAAGAGCTTCCACTAACAAGAGCACTAGCCTAATCTCTTTATGACCATGAACAAATAGTTAACATGGATTTGTTGTTCTCTTCTCGGATTTTATGACCCACTTTAAGAATTTTGTCTGAAGACTATCTGTACATCACTTGGGATCAACAAGGATCCCAAACTGCTTAAAATGTTTCAATAAATAGCAAAACAAACTTTCTAAATAAATAAATACAGATCAGAGGCTCAAGCCCCTGGGTGGTTGGGTTTGCGTAAACTTGCTCTGAGAAATGTTGTTTATTTATCAAGTTAAAATTCATTAACCAATTAAGTGGTTGGTTTATTAAGCACAGTTTTGAACTTGATGACTACAGCATGCACCCCAAATGATTTTTGCTGTCTTCAATCCAAGGGAAGAAGACTAGTTCTTAAATCCATCTTAAAAAGTCATTAAAAACATGAAGGCTTTTGTGAGCTTAATTAAGAGGTTCGGAGATCTCGAAAGCTTGTACTTTTTGTAAATTACAGTTTGGATTACTGTAATTTACTCTATGTGAGGCTGCCTTTAAAGACGGTTCGGAAACTTCAGCTGGTGCAAAACTCTGTAATAATGTTCTTGGCTGTTCTTTCTAGCTTGTCTATTTTTTTTATTAAAAAATCACAGTTCCTTAATAGCTAGAGGCACAGAGGGGGGCATGTGATTTATCTTCTAAAAACCCATCTCCAGTATCAAAGAGAGACTAATGCCACCTTTTAAGAACTGCTCCAAGTTTTCGGCATAAGGTTGCCACGAGCTTTGCTGGGAGATGTTGAAGGCAATGTTGACTGTGTTTTTCACGTACGGTCTAATCATAACTCCTGCAAAACAAAAGGCAAAAAGAGAGAGAAAGAGAGATTTGAGATTCCAGTTGAGAATTAGCTCAAGGGGAGGGGAAGGAAGGCCTACAACTGGACCCAAAGTTACATCTGCTTAAATGAAATAAGTCTACATCTTAGCCATGTCTACCTCTTTAAATCTGTTTGAATGAAACAAATGTTTATCCTTTATCTTTCACTGTGTTCATTTCCCTTCTCTCTCCCTCCCTCTCCACCTCCCATATGTATTGGAAAAGTATAGCTCTCAATGCTCCCTTACAATCTCCTCTTTAAATCTGTTTGAATGAAACAAATGTTTGTCCTTTATCTTCCACTGTGTTCATTTCCCTTCTCTCTCTCTCTCTCTCTCTCCCTCCCTCCCCACCTCCATGTTGGAAAAGTATAGCTCTCAATGCTCCCTAACACTCTCCTTAATTCCCATGCTCCTTGGGGGGATTCTGGGACTTGTTATCCATAAAACGACTTGTCCGAATCTTTCTTTGTTGTTATTTTTCAGTGGAGACCTTTTGGAGTTGAGACCTAGCCTCTTGTTCTTTTTACAGAATTCCCCGCAGACAGTGCTGTCTCCTCCCCAGATACTGGGGAAGCTGCTTTTTTCGGACGACAGTTCCCGAAATCCTCCAACCAGCATGGCTGCATTTTTCTCTCCAGTTATTTGCTCAGTCAAAAAGGAACTTTTCTAAGCTCCCGTCCCCCACCACCAGAATGTGCGAAGGAAGGACAAATGTGCCATATCTGGAAAGCATCACTTTTAGGGTTCTCAGCTGATGAACAAGGCAAAAGCCACCGGCCTTGCTGCCAGAGAAGATTCTGAAGAATTGTAGTATATAAAAAGGGACTGTTTGGGAGTGCTGATCGCTGCTACCATAATATGCCAAGGAGGAACGTTTATGTTCACCTACAGCACATGGACTCAGGTAGTTCCCAGGTAAAGGGAAAGATAGCTGACCAGACTCACCTGGTGGAGCAACTCTGTCCCTGTATCGCGGCGTGTAGGGGCTCAGGGTGAGCAACATGACATACAAGCAAAAGGCAAACATTCCCGCCAGGAAAGTGTATAAAACAAGATAAAACAAGAGGATCAGGCCTGGCAGAACAAGAAAATGCATTAGTGACAATCTGGAGAATTAAAACTATTTCATTTTATACACTTATTTCCAACCCTCTCTCCCTAAGTGGCTAATGATTTTCATAAAACATCATCCAACACACACAAAAGGCATCATTAAATCCACTGTTTCAAGAGTGGAGATCATCAATAAGAAACAATGAAAGAAATGTAGTCTCTCCCTATCCCACCCCTATAGGGCTTGCACAAATAAAAACATCTTCAGCTGGTTATGGTAAAGCAAACCACCAGATCTATGCCACAAGACTCAAAGGGAATTAAGTTACAAAATCCGGATGCCAGCAGTGATCCCCGTTACACCATGCCCTCCTTAGAGAGACCCCCATTTCAATCCATCCAACCAACCCAAAGGGCTGGTTCTTTGGTCATGTCAGAAGCACCACGATACGGTTATAATCAAGATATCAAATCATCTTAACCCAACAATAGCAACATCCAAAGCATTGGGGGCTGCTTATATCAAGTCCTCCACAGGACATATTGAAAGGCATAAAGTACACAGATGTAAGTGTGAAGTTGTCCATTCTCCTTGGAACGGACTCTGTTAGCACCAAAACCCAATTTTTCTAAGTTGACTTTGGTCCTGCTAACACAGCCTATGTAGGGAACTCGAAGTAATTTTAATCTGCCCTTATCTTTACTTCTTCTTAAGCATATTGTTTAATAGTTGATTTATTTTTTATTTCATCATGGAACAGTTGTAAACTGGGTCTGAAACTCAGAGGTAAAATGTGGGAATAGAGAGGCTTTAAATACAGGTGTGCATCCATACAGGTATGTCTAGATCAGGCACTCTGTGTATCTCTGCCTTTGCTGGGCACATTAAAATCACAGAAGCAAGAGTTATGTGGGTGGGCTACAAAATGCTCCTCACTAAAGTCACCACCGTTTCCTGGGATTAATGGCAATAGGTAATGCATTTTGCCAATGCCCCAGCTAAACACCTGCGGTGGTGATGAGACTGTGGCCTAGAGAATAAAGCTGTCATTTAAAAAAAATGGAGATGATCCAGAAGCAAAAGCCTCACACAGCTTGCGTGTGTGCATGTTCCTAGGCCTGTGTGTGTTTTACTTCCCAGCAGGAAGGAGAACCCAAACTTAGGACAAGCTTTGAGAACACAGCTGTGCCCTTTGCCCCCTTTGCCCTCCCTCCTGTTGGTGAGGTGTTTTGTGCAAAGGGACGTTTTTAGCTCTGAGAACAAACTGGGCCACACAGCAAATGGGGGCCTGGGGGAGAGCTTTGCTTTGAACCGTGCAACCGTCCATTCGGAGAGAAATGTGTGAGCGCTTTTGAAATGTTGGGTGTATTTTAAATGTTTGTAATCATTCTTAAGGGCAAGCAAATCTGTGCAGAAAGAAAGAAAGAAAGAAAGAAAGAAAGAAAGAAAGAAAGAAAGAAAGAAAGAAAGAAAGAAAGAAAGAAAGAAAGAAAGAAAGAAAGAAAGAAAGAAAGAAAGAAGTAGAATAAAAACTAAAGCACTGTATATATAATGTATGATCCTATTGGAAATACAAGGTATCTGAAAGCTCAGGAAGGTGTTGCATGGAACTAAAATCAAATTAGCAGCGCAGGACTGAGTTGTTCTATGGTTTGCCCCCCCTTCCAATCTGTTTTTTCCCTTCTTCCCACCCGCTTGCATTGGCCCCACCCAGAGGTGGGATTTGCCCTCTGCACTGAAAGAGGAACCCAATCTCTGAGCTAGAGAGTGTCACTACTCAAGCTGAGAATCCAGAATGACCTTTTTCACCCATTATCTGTCTTGGTGAACTTTGTCTTTCTCTCTTGGTCTAAGCATCGCACTGTTGGTGTGAGGCAGAGAGATAAAGTTGGAAGCACCTTGTTCCTTGCGCTAGCCCCCACAGCCAGCTCTCCATAAAAAGATTCCAAAGTGTAGGCTGGTGGATCAGTCCACATCAACAAATGAAGATCAAGCTTTTTATATAGTTAATGGCTCTGAATTGCCCATTCAAGACTAAGTCACCCTCAAGTACTTTGCATCACAACAGAAATGGATTGCAATGATATGCTCTTCATGGAGAAATCCATTTCTCTCCCAGCTATTGTGAGGATTGCAACAAAGCACAAAAGGGAAAGGGGAGCCTAAGGGGATTGGTGGGTGATGTCATAGTCCCTGCTGCTCACAAAGTCACAGAGCTTTGACCCTCTGATCCCTGGTTCCACTACATGCTTGGTATGATGTAGAGGATGGGGGAGGAAGACACCAGCAGATTATCTGGAGCTCCTTGGAGAAACAATATGGAGAAAACATTATATAATTATCATAAATTCTAATACCCGTTGTCCACATTGCAAGACAGATGCCTATAGAAATCAATACATTTTAGCTTAGCAGAGTTTGGGTATGCGTAGAGTTTTAGCCTGAATATTGTAATCTGAGCTTCTGCTCTTAGGGCTCAACTAGTCAAAATGCTAGCTTCACAGTTAGAAGGTGGTAAAACATATCCTCTCCCAAGCTGCTGTGTTGACCAAGTCAATTTCAAATAAAGCCTGTGCTTGTCTCTCATGTTTATCTGCAACTTGTGGAGCTGAGAACCTCCTACCAAGAAAGGACACAGGTAAATAATTTCTCTTGCTTCTAAGGACAGGGTCAGTGTAATCTCCGTTTTCATGCTCATAACCTAGCTTTCCTTCAAATCCCACCATAGTCTTTATTTATCTCTTCTCTGACTATTATTTTCACTTGCTGTACTCCACCATTCTCAGCTGTATGCATGTCCTATGTCCTTCACATATTTTATTTTATTTTATGCCCCTATTCCCATAGTCAAGGGATCCAAGGTGGCTGACAGATGGCTAAAAAACCAGATGCTGCTAAAAACACAATAAACAATAACATTAAAGAAGCAATTAAGGGAACGGCCAGTCTCTAACTGGTTAGTTTAGGGTGGCATGAATGCAACAGTGTAAAGCACAGTAGTAAGTGACTGCAAGACAACAGGTCGCTACTCGTATCCCTCATTGTGTGCCAGTATCACAAGGGATATATATATATATGCAACAACTTGTAAACTAGCAGGGATTTTTTTTGCTGCAGTTTATACTGTCGCACTTATGGTGGCGTAACTAGTAGGGATTTTTTTTTTTTTTTTGCTGCAGTTTATACTGTTGCACTTATGGTGGCGTAACTAATCAATAGGATTCTAGCTGATAATATTATAAAGACTCGCAATTTTTAAAGAGTTTATAAAGCCTATTTAAAACACACCGTAAAATGCACAAAGGTACGGTATTTGACAACAAGAACCATTTAGCAACCCTCCAGATTTCCTCCCTTTCTGTCCTTCTGTGCGAAACTGCCTTCTCAGACACGTCTTCCTTCAAAGGCCTCCTCCGAACCCATCTTTTCTGCACAGCCTTTGACACACAGAGAGACCTCATTTCCCCTGCTCAACACACTGCAGAGGGCTATAGCCAATGACACGGATCAGGCCCATGACAACTGATATCGTTATGAATGTGTTTGCAAGGGGGTGGCGAGGCTCTTTACTATTCAAATCACAAACCTAATTAAATGTAATCCAAGGATACATTCCCATCCTTTTCCTCTTTGCTTTTGCTCCCACTTTCATCTTCTGTTGTACGTTCCTTCGGAAGGGTGCCTGTTGTGCTCAACCCCATCTCCACGCTGTAGAGCCAGTGTTTGTCCGAAGACAGTTTCCGTGGTCACACGGCCAGCGTGACTAGACACGCAACACTGTTACCTTCCCACGGAGATGGTACCTATTTATCTACTTACATTTTGCATTCTTTCAAACCGCTAGGTTGGCAGGAACTGGGACAAGCGACGGGAACTCACTCCGTCGCGTGGATTCGATCTTACGACTGCAGGTCTTCTGACCTTGCAGCACAGAGGCTTCTGAGGTTTAACCCGCAGCGCCACCACGTCCCTCTAAAAACAAATATAAGCCCATTCCAAAAAAAATGTACAATAAACAGGGTCATAAGGAATGACCCAGTTTTGGAAGCCCGCTGAAAACTCCATAACATCATCCTCATTGAAGATGTTGGTGTGGATGCCTCATGAAAGGCGGGCAGCTGGAGGAACACAAACCAACCACTGACTAAAAAGAGGCAAGCAACGATGGACTTACCCCAACTCTGAGCTGTTCGGCCCATGAATTGCCTTGTCTCTGGATTCCATAGGAAGACCTTTATTTCCTTGATCCATTCATGCCATGTTTTCTTGCCCATGGCTCCCTTTTTCTTTTCTTCTTCTTCTTCTGTGTATGGCTGAGCTCTCTCCTCATCCTTATTTTCCTGGAACGGGGACAAAACACCCCTTCATGCACATCCTGTGGGCAGTGTCGGGTCTCGCTTTTGTTTTTCTTTCCCACTCCAGTAAAATATTCCAAAAATAAAGGCTAGTCTATTTAGTAGCTGGAGATGATTCAAATTTCCATCTCCTCGCCCTTTTCATGTTACAAACATAAAAAGGCACTCTTCTCCCTCCCCCCTTTTTTTTCTGCCCCTTTCTGGTCTACAATGAGTTCAGAGCTTAGACAAGTTATAAATGTGGACGTGGACTTCCTCTCTGAAGCAACAGAAAAGAAACTCACACTATCATGTGACTAAAGGGTACCCTCATGAGGAAAAACGATAAAGTTCTTTCACCTTTAATAGCGGTGTAAAAGTATGGGTTTCCCCTGGTGCATCTTTTCCTGGAATCTACACCTCCCATAAAACTGTCTTAGAAAGAAAATATATCTTTACAATTTGTTTGTAATATACAACCATGCAGAGAGATTAAATTAAGTATTTTCACATCTACAAGAACTGAGCACACCACTGAAAATAAGACATTCTAGTAAACAATTGAATCCAAACACTTAAGTAATCGAATGCTTTAAAAAGTTTGGAGTGACTTTACAGTGCCGAGAGGTGAAAAGCTCAATAATTTGTACTCCACCGCTTATTTTATGGTCAAAATTTCACTTGATCCTCACCGAGTGACATGAAACAAGGCTAGAATAGAAGGAGGCCATATATTCAAAAAGGCACCAGTTGGCCGTCTCTGGTTGAAAGAGGTGCTGTCATGCATCACCTCTCCAGCAAAAATGGCCCTTATTTTCCTACCCCATGGAGGACAAAGGAACAGGAATGCGGTTTCACCAAATAACCCATAGTTCAAGTGCTAGCTTGTGACTTTGCCTTGCTACTCACCTGCGAGCGGTGACCCAACCATGAGGTCAACAGGACGACCGCATGTTCTGTACACAGAGCAAGTGAGTTCTAGCAACGACACCTTTTTTTAACAGTAATGTTTGATTTTTAAATTTAAACTGATAGGTCAGAAGCCAGTTCATCCCACACAGACACAGCGTTAAGTAGACAATCGCACAACCAAGCCTACCCGAAATGCCAGGCAAATTTTGTGCTCCTCCTCTACCACACAACCAGGGAAGCAGTTGTACACCCACTCACAGGACAGGTGACAAGCAACAAGGGATCAAACCCTTCACGATCACCCTTTTCCCAGTTGGATTTTGGCCCCTTAGACCAAGCAGGCTGGGATAATCCTTGGAGCCATTTCAGATATAGGCTGTGGCCTCTTTTTTTAATTTCAGATATAGGCTGTGGCCTCTTTTTTATTATTATTATTTTAACAAGGGGGTGACAAAAAGGAAAAGGCGAATTGAGGTTAATGGGGAAGAAGAGAAACAATAACATACTAACGTCCATTCTATACCTATTGCCATATCAAGATTCCAAGTTGCTCAGTTTACTCTTTTCTGCCTTCCAGGTTTAAGTTCTCATTTCAATATATACTATTCATGCACTGCCTATTGATTCAATCCACTTGTAGAATAAGTCCCATCTTTCTGTTGCCTTTTGTAAAGGACAGTCCTTCATCACTTTTGATAAAATGTCCATTTCCGCTGTTTCCCGTATCTTCTCTATAAGATCTTCTCGTTTCGGTACCATCGGACTTTTACAAATTTTGGCATAGAGAATTCTGGCTGCAGTATCTATGTATATAACTATATATTCGTTTGACTTATCTATGTTATCAGGTATCATACTCAATAAAAACTGTTCTAGGCCACCAATCTATATAGATATTCTGTGACTCCAGCTCTTCTTTAGACCTTAATTCACCATCCTTTTTTGATAAATCTTGGTATCTTAAAAGTTTTGCTTTTGTCATGAGATTAGATTGTGTAAAGGCCTCTATAGGTGACACCCATACAGGTGTTTTGTAGTAAATTTGTTGTATAATCTTTCTCCACATTCCCAATAGAGCTTTTCTTATCATATGTAAATTAAAATGCTTTTGCTCTTTATCCTGTTTATACCATAGATAAGCATGCCAGCCTAATTGTAAATCGTGTCCTTCCAAGTTAAGTAATCTATCATTTTCAGGTATAGGCAGTGGCCTCTTGAGGTGCAGTGGAGTTAATTCAAGGCATGGACTGGAATCAACCCTGAGGAGGACTCCAGAATTATGTTTTTAGAAATGGGAAATTCCAGCTGTAACTCATTATTTTTTTCAAGGCAATTTTTCTAAGATGGAGAGCACCAAGTGATCCCAACTGATGGCTGAATGCATGAACGAGTGACGGTCTTTAAATGTGCTCGGTTTCTTTTTTTTTTTTCCCCTTCTTGTAGGCAAGCAGGCCAGAGAGAAAGATTCTGCAAATAATTTCAGTGTCAGAGACCCCTATGAGATCATCTAATGTGAAGAGCCTTCTGCACTGCCCCTCCACCTTTGCAGGAGCACATCTTGCGGTTCCTTGACCCTCCTTCTGAGCTGTGCCCGGTTACCTCTGAGCATTGAACTTGCCACTAGTCAATCAAGCCTCTCGGACTGGATGCCAGAGCCAAGCCAGGACAACCTGATCTGCCCAGGCATGCTTGGCCTGAGAACAGCTTCCTGTCACTTAAATAAAGATTTCAGAGAGGGACATTCTGTCCATCAGCGGATCAAAAGTGCAAAGGTCACATGAGACGGGAAAGAAAGGAAAGTTTAAAATAGAAACATACTGAGACATAGTTTGGTGCCTTTGATGACGGCACTGGCAGAGGGAGGTAGCCATTTAGCAGAGCAATCGCACACATGAATGTGGAGAAGCAAACCCCATTGGGTTCAGTGGCCTCATCGGAGTAGACCCACGGAATCAATGGGAACATCTATGAGTTCATATCTATGCCCCTTCCATTCTGCCTTGCTTCCAGTTGAGTCGGAACAGGACTGTAGTCTAATCCTAGCAGGATTGCCCCTTAAATGAAAATAATTCAGATCAATCCTGTGCATATTTGTTCAGAACCAGGTATCTTAGGATCTAGTGGAGTTTCGCTTCCAATAAGTGTGCCTAAGACTACAAATGAAAACTGCGGCCCATACACACATTTGCTTTGGCATAAATTCCATTGAACTCAGTGGAGCTTTGCATTAAACATGCATAACCTTCAAGTGTAGAGGGGGTCTTTTGGTTTTAAAAAATTAGCCATTGTATTGAAGAGTTTAATGTCAATGCAATGTAAAGAATTCCACTGGATGGTAGCAGGATTCTGGGCTTTATACTCTAATATTTCCTGCTTCTAGTCTGGTCTTTATAGAAAACAATTTAAAGCCGCGTTCTTCAACCTACAAGCATTTAATTGCATTGGATTATAATTTCTGCCAGCCTGAAGCAGCTTGATTTAAAGTCATGAAATCTGGGGATGATGGAAGCTGCAGGCTAACAGAGCTGTAGAGGGCCAGGTTAGAGAACCTCCAATCCTCCTGACCTCTGTGGGGTGCATTTGTGCCATGCTTGCGGGGTTAGAATCTTCTTTCCTGCTGACATTTGCAACAGGAAAAGCATGATCTTACAATGTATTTAAAAAATCATATCTTGTTCAGACACTCCAAAGGTTTGCTGTCTCCTTCCACAGCCTTCTCTCTAGCCTAGAAAGTCAGAATCGGTGCCAACAAAGGTCCATTTCTTAAAACAGAATCTCTCCACAGCCATCCGATGTGGCATTTTTTAAATTCCATTTTTTGCTTTCCTGCAGGCAATTCATTTTTATTTCAAAAATGCAGTCCAAAGTACTATTTTGGGGAGTGGGTGGGGTGGGGTCATCACACCTATCTTCATTGCTTGGCAACAAGTGATGTTTCGGATGTGTGAAGGAGCCACCACTGGTAGGAGATCACCATCCGCATCACCTCAGATGACCTCAAACAACACAGCCTTTCCGTGGTATCCCTTCATAGAGGATCCCGAAAAAATCGCCAAACGCTGAGTCATCAAACCGGGGATGAACCGCCCATGTGATATACAGCAAACACATCCAGGGAACCAGCCTCTAGAACCAGCAACAAAGATGCTGCACGAGAGACACCTATCAACCTGACCAACCACCACAGATCAAGATGCTCAGATAAAGGAGAGGGGCTCCTTAACGTTCCTGTCACTTGTCTAGAAGTGAGTCACGGCATCTCCTTCAGGGAGAAGGTATAAAACACTTGGACCCTAAGTTATTACCCATTATGGTTCTGCAGGGTGGAATTTTCTTTTTGATGCCATCTTTGGTCATCTACACATCAGGCTGTACTGGTGTGAGCAGTATGGTTTTTATAAAAAACATTTTTATTATTCATATTTTAGAACTTCATGCACGCACACGAAAGCTTCAAAGACTCTTCTAGCAAGAAACCAGATGTTCTACAGTACAGATGCTATGCCAGAAGCACGCACAAGCTGAAGAAACGACCATTCAGAGGCCACCAAATATCTACTTAGAGGCCACTAAACAAATGTTGCATGACACCAATAACTAACTAACAAATTGGTATATCTACATATATCCCAATATTCCCCCAGATCTTTTATAATCATACATCCCGGCAGCATCTCAAACTTGACACAGCTTAGGGCCTCTGCGTGTCCCATTCTGACCTATACAGACCGGTACCCAACAAGCAGAAATGATCAGTGGATGCCAGATGGGGCAGAACCCCGGTGCATCTTCCTACAAACCATACCGAGCTCATGGGAGGGAAGGATGTATATGGGTGATTATAGGGAAAACATCTGAGTGAGCCACTCTTCCATTTGAGGCTTGCTTGATACAAACCCTGTGCAAATCCTTGATTGAATCGATGATGGGCAGATGAATTGTTTGTATCAACAAATCAGTCCATGCTTTCGCTCCTTCTCTCTTTTTGGACTACCGGATTCTTGGATAGCCTTTCCCTTTTGAGAGCTGAAAAATTGAGCTTTGCCGACTGCGTTATTACACTTCCTTCTCTGCCTCTGGGAGGAAAGGAGTGGAAAACCTTCTCCTCTGCGTGCTAAAGGCCCAGGGCAGTCGCCGTCATTCTGCACCGGCCCTGTCCTGAGGAGCAAATGGGTGGTCTTCCTCCAGAAGACCACCCACACCAAAATGCACAGAGTTCCTTTGACACATGAGGTCAAAAATCCTGTGTGCAAATCTCTCGCCTTCCTTGGCCTCAACAATACCATAGTAGCAAAGTCAAGAAATAATCATTTGCTCTCTTTCCATGAAACTCACAATTTGCTGCCTTAAGTAAATGACTCACTCTGCCTCGTAGTTAGCCTGGCCCTGCACTGGGTAAATCTTCTGTGCCTCTGTCCCTCAGATCCCATCAAGGGAAGCCTACTCACCAGATTCTGTTGATAGTTCCCACTGTGGGCCTTGGCACCTCCAGAGGTGGTGTTCACTTCCATGGCTTTGCACCAAATGCAGGAGAAGGGGAAAGGGGATACTGTAATTAGTATGGCAGGCGATCCACTTGTGGGTTGAAGTCACACTCTCTCCACCACATATGTTTGCCAACTCCAAAAAGCTGCACTCAACCCCCACCCCTCCACCGCTTTGGAAT